TATAGATAGGGAATGTACAGCTGGATACAATGTTACAGACGTCTTGCTGTCTTTGCAGCTGGTTCCTGCATAGACCAACACTACTATCACATTGAAAACCCCTACATGACACTGAAAGTCCAGAGGGAGGCTGGGAACTTCCATCCTGGGGTGCAGGAACATATTTTTGTGAACAAGAGTGCACCACACAAAGTGGACCATGGTACCGCAGTGGCTGGTGGGCATAGAAAATTATGCATGTTGATCTCAGACTACGTTCACACTGCTGCAACCCCAAAGTTATGTGACTTTTAATTTAACATAGCAGTCTATGGCACTCAAGTTGCACTAAAGTCACAAAAAAAGTAGTGAAGGATTATTTTTGTTTTGTTGCTGCAACTTGAGTAACAATGATTAAGACGGCACCCTTGGAAGTGAATGTGTTTTGACTTGTCATGTGTCGCATGTCACATGATAAGTCCCAGCAGTGTGAACCAGAGCAAAAAGACATGCAGCAGCCCATAGATAAATGCTTTTTTCTTGGACCAGTAGGTTGAACTAAAAATGGATGTTTACATTCTTTAACCTCCAACCCATTACATATAGATCTGAAAAACAATAAAAAGGACGCAAGCATTTATAATTTTTTTTGGACCTAGATAAACTCGAAAGTAACCAAATATAAATTGATGCATGTTTGCATCCACCTGCCCATAGACTGACACTGAGCTTCCGTTTAGATCTGCCTGAAAAACTGACAGGCGGATCTGATTAGAACAGCCGAGGAAAAAGACCCTTTTACATATGCAAGTTGACTAGGCTAAAGAAAAAAAGAAAGACACACTGTAAACCTGAAGTATTTTATGAGATAAACAGAGAAATGTGGCTCTGTGAAAATGATATGCAATCACCTACATAAAACACCACGCCATTATCACGAGTCCTTAGCATTCAGCTTTCTTTATCATATAAGCACAGCATATCTCACAGTGTAATTACTTGTTAAATGACGGAAGCATGCCACTGACAAAAAAAAATTCTCGGGGGGGGGGGGGGGGGGGGGGGGGGGGTAATTGGGGGGGGGGGTGATGGGGGGGGCGGACCTATACAGAACAGGCACATATAAGCAAATAGATGTAGATCCTAAATAAATGAGATTACATTTTCTAAAACACTGCATATCAAACAAATGCCAGGTTCACTTTTTATTAAAATATTAATTTTCACTGATATTTAACCACTTCAAGTCCGGACACTTTTACCCCCTTCCTGTCCAGGCCAATTTTCAGCTTTCAGTGCTATCACACTTTAAATGACAATTGCACGGTCATGCAACACTGTACCCATATGAATTTTTTTAGCATTTTTTTTGAGACAGATACAGCTTTATTTTGGTGGTATTTATTCACCACTGGGATTTTTTTTTTTTCGCTATCTATATGAAAAAGTCCAAAAATTTTGAAAAAAAAAAAAAAGTGTTTTTTCTTATAAAAATTTGCAAATAAATAATATTTCATCATAAATCTTGGCCAAAGTTTATTCAGTTATCTTTTTAGTAAAAAAAAAATAATCCAAATTAGTTTATAACCAAAAATTATAATTAAAAAAAACATTTTTTACATTTTTATTTTTTTATATTATTATTTGTTTTTTATTTTTTACATTTTTATTTTTTTATATTATTTGTTTTTTTTTTTTTTTTATTTTACATACTGTCACCCTAGCAGTACATGGTGACACTGTACTACTTGTGGGGGGTGATGGAAGATTTTTTTTTCACTGATTGCTTTTACACCCATAAAGGCTGTAAAAGCAATCATTTCTCCTTCTCTCTGGCTGCATTCTTGCAGCCATTGAGAAATACTGTGTGAGCTGTGATTGGTCACAGCTTGTCACATGGTACAAGACTTTTGTAAATAGCCTTGTACCATGTGACCTCTGTGATCATTCACAGATTTCACACGTAGTAAGCAATGATGTCAGAAGTGACATCTTGCTTACTATTCTGCATGTGATCACTAATTGGCCAATCAGTGATCACATGATCGGGACCTCGCAGAGGTCCCGTACAACGATCGATGTTCCACTGTGTCCAGAGGACACAACGGGCACCGGATCGCGGTGCTGTGCGCTCCCAGGGAGCGTGCACAAGCAGGGGGCGGGGAGGTCGTTTATGAACAGCCACCCGCCCCTGCACTGCCACCGTCCAGCCGTTTATATACAACGGCTGGACGAGAGGTGGTTAAAGTGATCTGTAACATGTCTATACTTACCTGCTCTGTGCAATGCCTTTGCACAGAGCAGCCCCGGTCCTCCACCACCACTCTAGGCCCCTCCTCTTCAGCAGGTGCCCCCATGGAAAGCAGCTTTTCAAAAGGGCACCCGTTTGGGCTTGCTCTCAAGCCACCCTATCTGCGTCCATTGACACAGAGCGGGTGGCTCGACCCTGCACCCGTGTTACAGCATTTAATTGTCAGTGAAAGTAAAGAAAAACCTTTGATTGTGCGCCCCCTTGAGGGTTAGGGACTGATGTGAATGTACTAATATATATATATATATATATATATATATATATATATATATATATAGCGCTGCATAAATTGACAGCATTATAGAAGTACCTGAAAAAAATAAATAAAAGAAAATCCCAAATTATGGGTTGTCCCCAGAAAAGAAAAAGAGAGGAAATCTTTCAATGGGGACACTAGTTCTGTTGACCTGGGGAGTTCCGAGGAATTCCCTAAATTTTTAGGGATTTCCTCTCACTTCCTGTTTAGGCTATGGGACAGGAAGTAAAGTGAAATCTCTGCAATGGGACGCAGATGGCAAAAAATAACTGGCAGGGGTTATAAACCCTCTCTTGCTTTATCCAAAATGAAAAGACAGTTTTTTCCTATAGTTCTACTTTAATGAAAATGTAGGCCTTGCTGTCACCCATGAAGCCTGGCTGAAATACTCCCAAAGTTTACATTCCTACTTCTTGACCTATTTCCAGGACATTGGCTATGGCTGCTAAGCCTCCTTTTTAGAGCTCATGTACACTGCAGCTGATAAACTGACGTTCAGGAGCTGTTCAGCGGTTTTTTTCAGCAGCCCGTGAACTCTCCCCAATGTTTTCCTATGTGTCCATGTACATATAGTCGTTTACAGGCAGTTGAGTTTACAGTTGTTTTTTTGAACGCACCAAACTTGCGTTCAGGAGTAGATTTTACTGGCATTTCAAATGCCAAACGCTTGTAAATGCGGTTAACCGCGTTTAGAAGCGTTTTTTAACTGTTCCATGTCCAGATGCTGTCCAGAGACTTTTCATCATCAGAAATGCATGCAAAGCGTTTTCCATGTATTCAAATGGACCTAGTACACCAGTGCAGTCAGTTCCAGGTTTCGCATGAAGGAAAAAAAAATGGTAGAACTTGCTGCATTATGCTCATGATGGGATCCATAGCGAATACAACCAGAAAAGACAGGTAATCTCAAAACATACTGCTCTCTCTGCTTCTGCCCTCTCTATTTCTGTGAAATAGTTAATTTTTTACTATTTTTCAATACATTCTGGGCATTGGGAAGGTCTCCTGAGGTTATCTTTTAAAACGCTTCTAAACACAAACGCGCATAAATGCGGTATGCAAATGTGGCTAAACTGACATTTTTTAACCTCCGTTTTCCAGCAGTCAATTCCATCGTTCAGAAGTTTTCCAAACGCCCCGTGTACATGATCTCTTAGAGGACAACTAAAGAATGTGACTACAAAAAACACTTCTGCTCCTTCAATGTACATGGTATGCCCAGAGTGTCAAGGATTAAGCTCACAGTTTTAAAGTGATAATGATCCAGTCAGCCAGCCAATCACTTTCACAGTGTGGTCCACTAGACCTGGGAATGTATGCTGTGGTATCTGACACCAAGGCCTCAGTAGCAGATCCTTTCAGTTCCATAAGCTGTAAGGTGGGGCCTTCAAGGATCGAACTTGTTTTTCCAGCACATCCCACAGATTCTCGATTGTATCGAGATCTGGAGAATCTAGAACACAGCTCATCTTCGTGTTCCTCAAACCATCCTTGGATTCATCAGAACAGGTCACCTTCTTCCATTACTCTGCGATCCAGTTGTGATGCTTATTTGCCCATTGTAGGCACTTCTGGCTGTGGACATGGGTTAGCATGAGCACCTTGACTGGTCTGCAGCTATGCGGCCTCATACGCAACACACCGCGATGAAACCTTTCTATGGGAACCAGCATGAACTTTTTCAGATATCTGGTCTACAGTCAGGGGCAGACTGACAACTCATGGGGCCCTCAGCCAATAGGGGATCATGGGGCCCCTGTGTCTTTGCCCACACTCAAAAAAGCCTATAAAAAAGGTACCAGGGGCATTTCATGGGGCCCCCTACTGACCCTGGGCCCTTGGGTAGTGCCCGAGTGCTCGAATGGTCAGTCCGCCCCTGTCTACAGTAGACCTTCTAAATCAAACTACATGGGCCAGCCTTCCCTCCACACCTGTATCAGTGAGCCTTGGCCGCCCACTGGTTTTCCTTCCTTGGGCCACTGTTGGGTGGTCCTGACCATTACAGACCAGGATCTTCCCAAAGGAAATGCAGTTCTGGAGGCTCTCTGACCCAGTCACTAGCCATTACAATCTGGTCCTTGTCAAAGTCACTCAAACCTTACACTTGCCCTCTTTTCTGCTTTCAACACATCAACCTCAGGGACAACATGTTCACTTGCTTCCTAATATATCCCGACCACTTTTAGGTGCCATTGCCATGAGATAATCAATGTAATTCACCTAATATGTCTAACCGGTGTCTGGACCAACCGTCCTTCTAACACAATCCTCAGGCAGAATCTGGAACATCCATGTATAGCAACCAATCAGCTTCTAGCTTTCATTCTCAAAGCTTAACTGAACAAACTGAAGCTAGAAGCTGATTGGTAAGCATAGTTGCTCCAGTCTTGGTGGATCCCCCCCCCAAATGTCACACCTCCAGCCCCCACCATCTCCCTGTAGATCAGTGACAGTTCAGTCAGTAGTCTGGTCTCCCCCACACACATCCTCCAGGTGTCTCTCACCGTCCTCCAGGATATGGCTGGGCTTCACCGCCTCCACCTTGAACTGGCTGGCACTCCAGCCCGGGATCGGGGCTCTCACCACCTCACTGTCGGACAGCCAGGTCACCGTCTCGAAGTTGTCCCCCCGGATCAGAGCCTCCGCCTCCTCCCGGTGTACGGCCACCTGCTCGAACTGGTGCAGGCCCCCAGCGTGGTCAAAGTGGACGTGTGTGGCCACCGCCATCAGCGGCCGGCGCCCCGACCCCCCGTCCTTGCCGTGCGGCAGCAGCCCGGAGGAGCTCAGGTAGTCCGGAAGGCTGCGGAGCCCCAGCCCAGTGTCGATGACCAGGTCTTGGTGGGAGCCCTGCACCAGCCAGATGTTGGCTCGGTTCCCGGACTCGTAGAAGCGCTCCTGGATCCAGTACACGCCGTCCCCCAGGGCCTTGTGTGCGTACCACTCCAGAGCCGCCATGGCCGCCCTCCCGGAGCCCCGCACTGCCTGTTGCCGAGAGTCCTGCTGCCAGCACCTAGGGCAGCACCCACAGACCTGTCACCGGAGTGCGGGCTTCACGGCGCGTATCTTCCAATCGGAGAAGAGGAGGACAGGGCGTCACCGCCTGGGCATCCAATCAGGAGGAGATGTCAGGGGAAACTTCAGCTTCTACAAAGACACGCCCAATTGTTTTGTTCTTGAGTGCCCTGTGTATACCGGAGAGCGGGGGCGGCGTGCCCCGTGTATACCGGAGAGCGGGGGTGCGTGTATACCGGAGAGCGGGGACGGCGTGCCCCGTGTATACCGGAGAGCGGGGACTCCACACTTTATCCACGTGCCCGCCTGAAGGTTTTACCCCCTTCATGACTAGGGCGGGTTTTTTCTATTCAGCACTGCGCTACTTTGACAATTGGTCATGCAACACTGTACCCAAATTAAACGTATTGTTTTCTCACAGATAGAGCTTGGGTTTGGTGGTATTTGATCACTTGTTTTATTTTTTTAATATATAAACAAAAGACAAAAAAGTTTGAATTTTTTTAATATATATAAACAAAAAAAGACAAAAAGTTCGATTTTTTTTTTTAACTTTAGGCTATAAAACATTGGCAATAAAAAAAAGAAATTTCTTCATAAATTTAGGTCAAAGTGTATTCTGCTTTGTGTTGTTGGGTTTGGTGCGGGTGTGGTGTGATTAGAGCCACACAAAATTACAAAATCGCATGTGATTTGTACAGGAATGCAGTGTGGTTCCTGTGCGAATCACATGTGATGTACCGCACTGCATTAGTGTGAACCTAGCCTTAGTGTATATTATTTGGCTTGTGTGAAAGTTATAGTATCTACAAACTATGGTGTATATATACTGGATTTTTTTTTTATACTAGTGATGGGTGTAATCAGTGACTTATAGTAGAACTGTGATAGTGTGGAGGGCAATCTGACACTACCTGACAATGGCTGGGGGGTTACACTAACTGACATCAATAGTGATACAGTATTAGCAATCAGTGGTAATACTATACACTGTCACTGTACTAATGACACTGGCTGGGAAGGGGTTAACATCTAGGGGCGATCAAGGGGTTAACTGTGTGCCTAACAATGTTTATAGTGTGAATTGTGTGTTGCTTTTGCTTTGCAGGGATTAAAAAAAAAACAACATCGCTTCTGTGTAAAGTCCCAGTATTGTTTGTCAGCACTGTTCTGTGATTCGCTGAGCCAATCAGCAGGTCCCAGCCATCAATCTTTGGCTGCGATCAGCTGATCAGTTTCTGCTGTGCCGAATCACAGCACAGTCGGGGCGGCGTGCATGTACACACCCCAATCTGGAAGATTGGATCACATACTAACTAGGTACTTGATCCAGCGCAGAGCGGCTGCCGGTGTATATATAGGTGGGGCAGTCCATAAGCAGTTCTAGAACCGTAGCCTCCCTAGCGGTCTGATTATGTCCATATTTCTGTGCTCAAAGGGGTACATTTTTTTGCATGGAAATATGTATTTTTTTATTGTAGGCTGTAATTTTTAGGAATAACTCACTGAAATCTGTATGAACAAGAGTCTAGTAAACATCCCGGGTATGATAAAACTTGAAACACGAAATCATAAATTATAATTTAATAAATAATCATAAAAATAATAATATAATAATAATACATTTAATTCAATAATATAATCAAACCAAAAAACACAGAAATTTGAAATATAGCTCCAAGTTCGCACATCACTGAGCAAAGTCGCAAAATCGTTTTCAGTCTCTGTAGTAAAAAAATGCAAATCAAAAAGCGCCTTGACCTGTGTTTGTCACTCATAGGGCAGCGCAGTGAAATCAAAAGTCTGCTCTATGCAGCCTATACAAAAAATGTGCTGAAAAAGTGTGACACAAATATGTTAAGCCTCAGTTCACACTAGAATGCGGTGCAGGAAACCTGTGATGCACGTTTCCCTGCACCGCATTCGAACCGCTCTGCCCTCGAAATCTGCAGCGGGTGTCAGGCTAGGTTCACACCTATGCAGGTTGTGGTTGATGCATTTTTGCATTTTTTATGTGTTTTTGATGCATTTTGCTTTTTTTGGGAGGTGTCTGTTGTCATGCAGGAGCAACCCACAAAAACACATAAAAAAAAAACAAGCACTGCGTTTTTGGTGTGTTTCCGCTGCAGTTCCATCAAAGTTTATGGAACCAAGAATGCAGTCTGCAAAAAAAGTCCCTGACCCTTTCCAAAAAACACAGCGGTTGAAAACGCACAGACGTGACCATAACCCACAGGAAATCATGTTAAATGGACTGTAGTGCATTTCTACAAAACTGAAAAAGCACTGAAAAAACGTATAGGTGTGAACTTAGCCAATGTCACCCCAAAAATGCAGGTCACAAATGCAGTGCATTTGCCCGCACCAGATCTCATGGTACCAAATGACCATGCAATCCGGTTCTAAAATTGGTGCAGGCATGGCTCTGGTGCGATGCAGTGCGCTTTGAAACACATTAAAAATAAATGGCCTCAAATCACACCGCACTGAATCCCATCTAAATTGCACAGGTATGGGGCGTGCATTCCTGTGCGATTCAACAAGGACTCATAGTGTGAACTGAGACTACGTGTGAATGCAGCCAAGCAGCCTTACAGCACAATCCTCGAGTTCAGTGTGAAGTCTTGCATGCATGTGTAATGTCTTGCAGTGCGTTTTTATCACGTTTACATTGCATTTTTGACATTATTTATGGTGTTTTTATTAGGGCTCTTTCAGATGTGTGGCTGGGGAATGGAGGGTGGGTGGAGTGGTAAAAACAGACAGTTGAGCCACAGTCTTGCTGCCCACCCAAATTGTGACACTACAACCAGACAGAACGCTGTACATGCCATGCTTTGCTTCACAGCCAAGGTGTTTTCAACTCAGGGTGTAGAGTTTGAAAGGCAGCACCGCCTTCACCATTGAGTTCAATAGGCTGCACCTCAACCTCAAGCCTAACACTCAACTTGCAAAAATAATTATGTAAATAAAAGTTGGAAAAAAAAAAAAAAGCATTTGGGAGGAGGCAGTAGCGCACCTGTCAGCCACTGCTATACTGCCCTCTGAAAAGCAATCCACCACAGATTGCTTTTCAGAGGCCAGTAAGCAGTACTGTAAGTCTGAAAGAAGCCTTAGTATTTGCATGCAATTGTAGTTTACACCGAGCTGCTTTAGGGCTGAGAGGGATCAGCCGGTGTCCACAGAAACTGAGGAGAAATGGATCTGCCTGCTCTGCTCCAATCAGCAGGGGATCTGTGAACTGATCCTCCCCGTTCCCACTGAAAAAAAGCTCTGTACATTTCACCATGCAGGCTGGTGTGAATGTAGCCTTAGGGCCGTTTCACACTATAGAAACACAGTCCAGATATGTTCTGGATACATTTTGCATGCGCATTTTTCACTCTTCTTGGCGAGTTCCGGTGATTTTTGATGCGTTCCAGCGTGTTTTTTTATGCATTCCAGTAAATTTTTTCCCCTCTCTTCCTCTTTAATTTAAATACGGGCATGTGCATTCCAGTGTGTTTTTGTTGCGTTTTGGTGCATTTTTTGCGTGGTGCATTTTTGATGCGTTTTTCCATGTTCAAGTATAGTTCAGTGCAGGAAAAATGCAACATGTTCTTCTTTTGTTTCTGTAACTGGAACTGCAAGCACTGATGTGAACTGTGACATTGACAACCATATAACCTACTTTCTGTGCATTTTGGACACAGAAAAAAAGCCACTGAAATGCATGTAGTGTGAACTGACCCTTAAACTACATGCCTACAGGGTGGTAACACTGCGGTGGTTTTACTGGCAGGATCAAAGCCTGGTTAAAGGGGGCTAATATGAACAATAAATGCTATGCTAGAACTTGTGATAGACTGCATTACATTTGTCACTTTTTCCTCTAAACATAGTCCTGCTTTGACAATTACTATTCCTAAATAACTCCAACTTTAAAATGAACAATATGGAAGATTGAGGAGAAGATGAACAATAATCAGTAGTTTAACCCCTTGGCACCAGCGCCTCCCGGCCCTTGAAGTATTTCAGAAGCCAGGAGGCGGGGCAGGGTTTTAGGGTCATGTGACATGTCACATGACCCATGATCGGGAAAGGTCCCGATCGAAAGAGGAGATCAGGACCTTTCCGTGAGTACTGGACATGTGTGCTGGGAGCGCGCAGGGCGCGTGCTCTCAGCACATATGTTTTTTTTAACTGCACACAAATGTGCGGCCGCTCGGCGTCTAGGCCCAGAAGCCGGGAGGCCGTACATTTGTGTGCGGCTGGCGTGAAGAGGTTAAGATCATTTTCATGCTCCCGAGTTGCTGGTAACACATACTGGTATGATTTACGACTTGTTACTAGTGACTTAGGCCAGCCATACATGGGTCGAAATTCAGCTGATTTTGCATCCAAAAATCAGACCTAAGACTAATCGGACAATTTTTGCTCTGTTAGTGGGTCATTGGCACTGGACGATTTTTGTGGTTCCTCCCATTTTCGGTGGTCGGGCATGTTGGAAAATTTGTGAAAAATTACCGATTTTTGACTCAATGATGGTCAAATCATACGATCATTTTTCCGAAAAGAATATGCGCATGAGCCGTGACCTGGAAGGAACAGAAGCTTCGCCTGTTATATTGGGTGAACTTTATGACTTGGTTAGTCCGATTTTCAAAATCAATGATGGCATCATCGGATTACGAGCAAACGACGTTTTTGATTTTCGAACAAAAAATCGTTCGGAATTCAAACCATGTATGGCCTGCATTACTAAAGTTAGAACTGCTCCAGAGCTTGCACCTTTAAAAGCCAGTCATCAATGACACCTACCATATTTCTGTCCTGGCTGGTTCCTTATAAATGACTTTACTCATGCAGCTATTTAAGGCTATGACCCTGAATATTGTTGATTGCGGGATTTTGTTGCTTTATGGAAATAGAACATGAGAAAATATAATCACATAAAAGGATTA